CAGGATTCAAAGGGATCTTGACAGATTAGAGAGAGATGGGCCAAAACTAACAAAATGAAGTTCAACAGGGACAAATGCAAGATACTCCACTTTGGCAGGAAAAACGAAATGCAAAGAGACAGAATGGGGAACAATGCCTGGCTCGAGAGCAGTACGTGTGAAAAAGATCTTGGAGTCCTCGTGGACAGGAAGGAATGAGCCAGGAATGTGATGTGGCGGCAAAAAAAGCCAATGGGATTTTGGCCTGCATCAATAGGAGCATAGTGTCTAGATCTAGGGAAGTCATGCTCCCCATGCTCTATTCCGCTTTGGTTAGACCACACCTGGAATATTGTGTCCAATTCTGGGCACCACAATTCAAGAGAGATATTGACAAGCTGGAATGTGTCCAGAGGAGGGCGACTAAAATGATCAAGGGTCTGGAGAACAAGCCCTATGAGGAGCGGCTTAAGGAGCTGGGCATGTTTAGCCTGAAGAAGAGAAGGCTGAGAGGAGATATGATAGCCATGTATAAATATGTGAGAGGAAGCCACAGGGAGGAGGAGGGAGCAAGCCTGTTTTCTGCTTCCCTGGGGACTAGGACGTGGAAAATGGCTTCAAACTACAAGAGAGGAGATTCCATCTGAACATGAGGAAGAACTTCCTGACTGTGAGAGCCGTTCAGCAGTGGAACTCTCTGCCCCGGAGTGTGGTGGAGGCTCCTTCTTTGGAAGCTTTTAAACAGAGGCTGGATGGCCATCTGTCAGGGGTGATTGGAATGCAATATTCCTGCTTCTTGGCAGAATGGGGTTGGACTGGATGATGGCCCAGGAGGTCTCTTCCAACTCTTGGATTCTAGGATTCTATGAACAGGCCTGGGCCAACTTGGGCCCTCCTTCATGTGTTTGGGACTTCCAATTCCCACAACATGGATATGCAGAGGATCCCTTGATTGACAGAAGTGTCCAGTTCCAAGGGGACAAAGGCATGGGCCAACTTGGGCCCTCCTTTTCCCTTTCCCTTTCCTTTTCCACTTAAGTGCATATCTACAAAGTGTGTCACCACCAACATGAAGCGTGCGGAAAGCCCTGCTACATGGTCTAATTCAAGACATCTTTCCATTCAGGCAATGGAATGGAGGCTCCTGCAGCCCAGTTCTTTGCCTCGGGGTCTTTCTGCACAGCCTGTGTTGGACGGAAGGGGTGACACTCCCCCTGAAGACGCAGGTTCGCAGCTTGGGAGGGATCCTGGACTCATCGCTGAGCCGGGAACCCCAGGTTTCGGCAGTGGCCAGGGGAGCTTTTGCGCAGTTAAAACTCGTGCACCACCTGCACCCCTACCTTGGGAAGTCTGATCTGGTCACAATGGTCCACAGTCTGGTTACATCCTGGATAGATTACTGCAACACACTCTACGTGGGGCTGCCTTTGAAGACGGTTCGGAAACTTCAGCTAGTCCAACGGATTAGATTACTAACGACATACAGGGAGAACCCACCCCCCTGCTATGCCAGCTCCACTGGCTGCCGGTCCACCTTCAAGCCCAAGTCAAAGTGCTGGTTTTGACCTATAAAGCTCTGGATGGTTCTGGCCCAGCTTACTTGTCCAAACGCATCCACCCCTACGTCCCACCTGGAAAGATGGGTTCTCGTAAACTAAGATCATCCGGGGAGGCCCTGCTCTCGCTCCCGTCAACAGCGCAAATATGTCTGGAGGGGACGAGAGACAGTGCCTTCTCGGCAGTGGCCCCCCACCTATGGAACACACTCCCAAATGAGGTAAGATCTGCTCCCTCCCTCCTGGCTTTTAGAAAGAAATTAAGGAGCTCCACTGGCTGCCGTTCATTTTCCGATCCCAGTTCAAGGTGCAGGTTCTTACCTACAAAGCCCTGAACGATTTGGGACCTGCCTACCTGCGTGACCGCATCTCTGTGTATGAACCCACACGATCTCTTCGATCATCTGGAGAGGCCCTACTCACACTCCCACCTCCATCACAGGTGCGATTGGTGGGGACGAGGAAGAGGGCCTTCTCGGTGGTGGCCCCCCAACTCTGGAATTCACTCCCCAGGGATATCAAACAAGCCCCCACATTGGGAGTCTTTAGGAGGAGCCTGAAAACGTGGCTGTTCAGTGTGCCTTCCCTGAACGAAGGAAATAATGCCCTGCTCTGACCAATGCCCCGCAAAATGTCCTCAGAAGCACTTCAACTACCCGTTGGGTTGCTCTCCCTACATTACCTTTTAAAACCCTCCTGCTTAGACACACTCTACCTCTGTTCACGCCCAGTATTGATTTTAAAATTTCAAACTATTACATTTGGCCCGGCCATAGGTTTTACATTTTGTATGTTATTGCTTATATGTTGAGTTATATTAATTGTACTGTTTTATTTGCTTGCTGCTTTGTTGTTGACTGATGTGTTGTTGGGCTTGGCCTCATGGAAGCCGCCCCGAGTCCCCTCAGGAGATGGTGGCGGGGTATAAATAAAGTATTATTATTATTATTATTATTATTATTATTAAAATCATGGTTTTGGGACCAGGCCTTCGGACCGCAGATGTATGTGGAGTTTTAGAGGGACATTGACTGGAATGGCAATACGACTGGCGAGACTGTTTTATTGTATTAATGCTTGGTGATTTATTGTTTAATTACGCTTTATGTTCAATTGTGGTTTTTTACTGTAACTGTTATGTATTGGCATCGTGTCGGTGCCCAATGAATTTTGTCATCTATGTGTAAACCACTTTTAGTCCCCCCAGGGGTGAGAAAAGCGGTATATAAGTACTGTATATGAAGAAACACATAATCCCAAATCCGCCCCGCTCCCAAGTGCTCCACTTTGCCTTAAAATACGAGGGGTATTTTTAAAGTAAGGTCCRTTTTGTTGTAGACACTAGTTGTTCGCGCGCATACCGCAGCGAGCACGTGCGTTGTGTACCAGCATGCCTCGGGARSAACTCAGGTGCTGAGTTTCCGCTCTGTAGCTCACCTGTACGGTTCTGTTCTGATACGTGATACGGTTTTGGTCAGCAAGGAACCTGCCTGCTGCAGAAATTCATCGACAGATTTGTGAAGTGTACGGTGATACTGTTATGAGTGAAAGCAAAGTGCGTAAGTGGGTACGACAATTCAAAGATGGCCGTGACAACGTCCATGATGAGGACCGCTCCGGTCGCCCTTCTTTGATTACAGACAATTTGGTGGCTTCAGTTGAAGCGAGGATTCGTGAGAACAGGCGCTTCACAATAACAGGTCTCTCAAATGAATTTCCTGACGTGTCGAGATCAGTGCTTTACAACATTGTTTCTGAACACCTAAAGTTTAGGAAACTGTGCTCCCGTTGGGTCCTGAAACTCCTAACAGAGGACCACAAAAACCAAAGATTTGAGTGTGCGATCAAATCAAATTGTCTGTAATCAAAGAAAGGTGACTGGAGCGGTCCTCATCATAGAATCATAGAATCAAAGAGTTGGAAGAGACCTCATGGGCCATCCAGTGCAACCCCATTCTGCCAAGAAGCAGGAATATTGCATTCAAAGCACCCCTGACAGATGGCCATCCAGCCTCTGTTTAAAAGCTTCCAAAGAAGGAGCCTCCACCACACTCCGGGGCAGAGAGTTCCACTGCTGAACGGCTCTCACAGGCAGGAAGTTCTTCCTCATGTCAGATGGAATCTCCTCTCTTGTAGTTTGAAGCCATTGTTCCATTGCGTCCTAGTCTCCAGGGAAGCAGAAAACAAGCTTGCTCCCTCCTCCCTGTGGCTTCCTCTCACATAGTTATACATGGCTATCATATCTCCTCTCAGCCTTCTCTTCTTCAGGCTAAACATGCCCAGCTCCTTAAGCCGCTCCTCATAGGGCTTGTTCTCCAGACCCTTGATCATTTTAGTCGCCCTCCCTCTGGACACATTCCAGCTTGTCAATATCTCTCTTGAATTGTGGTGCCCAGAATTGGACACAATATTCCAGGTGTGGTCTAACCAAAGCGGAATAGAGCATGGGGAGCATGACTTCCCTAGGTCTAGACACTATGCTCCTCTTGATGCAGGCCAAAATCCCATTGGCTTTTTTTGCTGCCACATCACATTGTTGTCTCATGTTTAACTTGTTGTCCACGAGGACTCCAAGATCTTTTTCACACGTACTGCTCTCGAGCCAGGCATTGTCCCCCATTCTATATCTTTGCATTTCGTTTTTCCTGCCAAAGTGGAGTATCTTGCATTTGTCCCTGTTGAACTTCATTTTGTTAGTTTTGGCCCATCTCTCTAATCTGTCAAGATTGTTTTGAATCCTCCTCCTGTCCTCTGGAGTATTGGCTATCCCTCCCAATTTGGTGTCGTCATGGACGTTGTCCATCATGGACGTTGTCACGGCCATCTTTGAATTGTCGTCCCCACTTACGCACTTTGCTTTCACTCATAACAGTATCATCGTACACTTCACAAATCTGTCGATGAATTTCTGCAGCAGGCAGGTTCCTTGCTGACAAAAACCGTATCACTGAGCGAACCTCACATGAGGAGGGTGAGTTGATAGTCTTAAACATTTTTAAAGCACAGAACAGAACCGTACAGGTGAGCTACAGAGCGGAAACTGAGCACAGTTGCTCCCGAGGCATGCCGGCACACGACGCACGCACTCGCTGCGGTATGCGCACGAACTACTAGTGTCTACAACAAAACGGACTTTACTTTAAAAATACCCCTCGTACTTCTGTGCTTCGTTGTTGCTCCCACCCCAGCTGGGAAAAAAGGATCAAAGACTTTTCATGAAACCCAAATGCTAGGGGTGCAGCCCAGTTGGGCCCTCGATGCTGACTGCTGAGCCTTGCACCTCGCCTTGCCAAACTCTGCGGCCACATTGCCTCCCTTTGCTTGGCAGCCTGAACCCAGTGGGCTCTCCCCTGGACTCAGCCCCAGGCCCAGCTGCACCTGGGGCCTCCTGAGAAGGGCCCGGCTGGCGTGCCCCCTTCTCCCTCCCCCCCCCCCGCCCCCCCCCCTTGCCAGGAAGAAGGGTACCTTTCCGGTTCATCCCCATCTGGAGACACTTGAGCAGGCGGCAGTACTGGCACCGGTTGCGCTGCTTGCGGGACATGACGCAGTTCTTGTCGCGGCTGCATCGGTAGACCCGCTTGTTGCAGATGCTCCGCTTGAAGAAGCCCTTGCAGCCCTCGCAGGAGATGATGCCGTAGTGCAGGCCCGTGGCTCGGTCTCCGCAGATCAGGCAGGTGCGTAGGTCAACCCGGTCATCTGCAAGAGGAAGGGCGTCAAGGTCAGGCTCACGGCAAAGAGCCCTTTCACACAGACGCATCTCCCAGGCGCCAAGGGCAGAGATCTCTGCCGGCATTTGGAAACAATAAACATCGACAATATATTATTATTATTATTATTATTATTATTACTTTATTTGTACCCCACTAGCATCTCCCAAAGGATTCGATGCGGCATACACAGGCCAAGGCCTCAAACAACACAACATAACAATACAATCAGCAGATCAAACAATTAAAAACAAAATAAAGCAAAGTAGGCAACAGGCACAATACATTAAAACACAATAAAACTGGGCCGGGCCAGAGCAATGGGTACAAGATTAAAAGTGCTGATGTGACAGGAGGTGTATATAGGGCTTCCAGGGCAAGTGCGATGTGCGATGTGCAGCAATCATTGGTTCTGATAAAGTGCTTATGGGACTTGGTGGTGGAGATTTCCTAATCTGGGAAGGCGCATCGGAAAAGCCAGGTCTTCAAGTTCTTTCTGAAGGCAGCCAATGTAGGGGCCTGTCTAAGGTCTTTGGGGAGGGTGTTCCAGAGTCGGGGGGCCACCACGGAAAAGGCCCTGTCCCGCGTCCCCACCAAGCGCGCTTGCGATGAAGGTGGGATCACGAGCAGGGCCTCTCCCGATGAACGAAGTGAACGTGTGGGTTCGTAGATGGAAATGCAGTCACGCAGGTAGGCTGGTCCCAAACTGTTCAGGGCTTTGTAGGTGAGCACCTGCACCTTGAATTGCGGCCGCCCATCCCTGGCCGCCCGTGGAGCTCCCAACCGGAGGGTTGCACTCTCTACGTCAAGGAGCGCCCCTCGCATCCGGTGCCCGTTGGACCAGTTGGAGCTTCCGAGCCGTCTTCAAGGGCAGCCCCACGTAGAGCGCATTGCAGTAATCCACAGTTCAATGTGGATTTGATACAGCTGTGTGGAAGGGGCCAAAGACACAACCAGCCGGAGCAAGGCAATGCTGAGGAGGGGAGAATTCGGCACAGATGCCCACAAAGCACCCTCGGGGGTGAGAAGAGCGGGGTAGAAATGGTCTAAATAAATAATAAGATAAATAAATACGGACGGCACCCCCAAATCCACTAGGATGCAGAAGTTGAAGAGCAAAGTTCGGAAATGCTGCTCTTTGGGACTTCAACTTGCTGAAATGCTAGCACATGACTAATATTGAAAGGCAGACACCACATAATCGAAAGATGACTTTGAAAATATTAATCCCCCCAGACACAAATTTTGGAAATTGTACAGAGCACCCCATTTATAAAGCCTCTTAGAGCAAAGTGCCGTTAGTGACTCCCAGCCCTCCATGCGTCCATCCTCTTCCTCTGTCCAGGTGATTTTTTAAAACCAGCATTGTCACGAGGAGGCCGAGGATGGAGGGCGAGAGAAGCACAGACTTTCAGTGTGGCTTGCATTAAGACAACACTGAAAGTGGGGTGGGAAACGCGTGATCTGATCCCAGTCAATACCCACCTGTGCCTGCCTCCTGCAGGTGAGGTAAACAGCTACTTCCAGAACCCCTTCCTGAGCATCTATTCCATCCCCTGCCATGCACATATGCACAACCCTGAAAGATGCCTATTCCCATCTTTGCTTCACGGGTGCAACAGATGGAAAGCCCACCACCTTCCAAGGCACTCCATTACACACTTGAACAGTTCACGTTACGTAGAGTCTCTTTTCTTGTTATTCGAACCCACTGATTCATGTCCTGGTTGCAGAAAGCGTCTTCTACGTGGAACAACTGCTCCTACAATGGCTTAGGTCCAGACTATTTGGCAAACCGCATCTCCCTCTACAGACCAACTCGGACATTGCGGTCATCGGATGAGGTCCTCCTCTCGGTCCCACCCCCGCCCCAAGCACGGCTGGTGGGAACGAGAGAAAGGGCCTTCTCTGTGGCTGCCCCCCCCCCCCCCACACACACACCTCTGGAACTCCCTTCCTAAGGAGTTAAAGGTGGCCCCCTCCCTCCCCGCTTCCAAGAAACAGCTGAATGAAGACATCCCTTTGCTCTCTGGCTTACGAGGAGGAGGAGGAATAGTAGTTGGCAATACCACCATGATACCTCTGATTGATAGTTGGCACCCGTATCCGTGCCTGCTCACCCCACCAGCTCAATAGATATCTTAAGCAATGATTAATCGATTTGTCCCAAAGAAATCGGAAATCAACGTTTCCATTTGATGTTGGATGTTTTGTCTTATGTCTGTTATAACAGGCTGTGCTTTTTATTTAATTTTAGTTTGTTAAGTTATAATTCGTATTTATATGTTGGGTTGTATAAATGTGTTAGTATAGATGTATTGTTGTTGTATTCGGGCATTGAATGTTTGCCTTTTATGTTTGGAATAGGAGCAGAGTTTATAGTGTTATTTATTTATTTATTTATTATCATTATTATTTTGTTGTTCATTCGTTCAGTCGCTTCCGACACTTTGTGACCTCATGGACCATCCAACGCCAGAGCTCCCTGTCAGCTGTCGCCACCCCCAGCTCCTTCAAGGTCAAGCCAGTCCCTTCAAGGATGTCATCCATGCATCTTGCCCTTGCTCGGCCCCTCTTCCTTTTTCCTTCAATTTTCCCCAGCATAACTGTCTTCTCACGATGTGGCCAAAGGACTTCATCTTGGCCTCTACGATCCTTCCCTCATTATTATTATTACAAAATGTTTCTCTCTCTCTCTCTCTCTTTTTTTTCCTCTCAGTCTCACCTTTAGAAGTGTCATCGAAACTTTTGCTAAGCAGATGAGCAAATCAGGGAGGGGTGAAGCGGCCTAAGAAGCCTAATTTAAGAATGATAGCCAGGCAATGCTAACACAGGAGCCTTTTCCCAAAAGAGGACCACCATCACCACCAGGTTCAAAAGAAGAAGTCAACAAGACAGCCCAAGACAACTGACAGCCACTGAGTGGCATTTTAAGGTCCGAGTGAGTCAGGAACCAAGCCAAGACCCACTCACAGAGAAACTCCTAAGTGTGGGAGACCCCACACCAAAGGATGGGCACGTCCCTGGCGGAAGGCTGAAGCTCCTGGCTTCCGAAGTCGGGCCTCATTAGCCCAGATATGCATCCAACCGTGAAGGCTGCTTTGCACAGGACGCTGCATCCGCTCACACGTGACATCCAAAGCCACCCATCTTTGGCTGAAGATAATTTCAGCCACCGTTTGCTTCCAGGAAATCACAACTAAGGCTTGCTGATGTTTTTGTGCCGGAGATCACTCCTGGGCCCACAGAAGCTCCTGAAGACTCCAGTGGGAGAGGCAGCCCCCCCCCCCMCACTGTGGGGTGCCACAAACRGACAGCTCCTTCCCCAAGGACAGGTGGAGGCCTGAGCCCCAAATGGCTTTTCCCAAGGCAATGAAAACAAACAGCATTACAGAGAACAGGAATGATGGACAAGGTTCTTATGGCCAGATGGTAGCAGAGAGGGAAATGGACGGGGGCAGMGAGGGGGGGGGGTCTGCAAAATGGTGCAGCTTGCTGTGGGAGAAACAGCTGCAGCCGGAGGCACTTCTGGCTCCTCTTTTTGGACCTTGTTCCAACTTAAGGGTTTCTCTGGGAGTTCCCCCCCCCCCCCAGCAACTGCTTCAGTCAACAACTTGCTTGGATGGTGCAAACCCAGAGGATGCAGGAAGTGCCAGGTACCTGAAGGATGGTTCCCTTTACACTAACAGATTCCTCAGAAATACCCAGGCAACATCTTGACAAAGAGCAGCTCCTAAACAGACTTTGCAGTCACGGGTTGCATAATCTCGGTCTTTAGTGATCTGATGACCACAGAAAAGGGGGATTAGTAGTCCTCTCTGGGTGGGATCGGGCTCCTTGGCAATCTCCAAGCCCCTTCCTCCCTCCCAATCCCAATCCAAGCCATAAATGCAGCACTGACTTGGGAGATGGAGGGGGGCTGTTGGCCAAGGAGAGGGGGCTCAAGGCCTACTTGCCCACCCCCTGATTGGGGGGGGGGGAGCATCTGCCCCACTGTTAAAACACACAACAGAAGTGAAGCAGGAGGAAAGGCTTCCTAACTCAGAACTGGATTGAAACCCAGTTTAGAAACTTGTAATGTAGGCACCCCAAAGTTTGTGAAAAAGACACAGCCATGCAAGGAGAAAACAAATGCCAAAGCACTTCTAAACTGGGCCAGCTTCTGAATTCTGGATAACTTTACATCGTATGAGGTGCTATCAGTCCGGCCAAAGGCCTCCAAATGAGACTCCTGAAAAGACTCGCCAGGCTGAGGCCCGAAAGACACCCGGAAAGCCGATTACACCCTGGAAATAACGACATCAACAATGGCCTCCTGTCTGTGGCCAAAAGCTGCTGCAACCCCAAATGGCCCCTGAGCATGCCATGTGGGGGGGGGGGGGGGGGGGGGTTGCAGCCCCTGGCTTCTGCAGTTTCCGCCCTCATTCATGCATGCGCTTTGCAAAATGGACACGGTGTGAAGGCAGAGATAGCCATGACCTTTCTGTTTGCTGCTGGACCTTTTCATGGGATGCAAAATTGGGGGGTGGGGGAGGCAGAGGCCTCAAAACAACTCCTTCACCTTGAGGTTCTCATGGTGTCCCAGAAAGAATGGAAAAGTACCACTTTTCAGACCAGAGGGGCTCTGCAGAGTGGGCTCGGGGGAGAGGAGAGGGTCGTGACAGAAAGAGACCGGTTGGAAATTAAAAGAGACTCCGACTCCTCTCAGCCATTGGGTGTTTTTCAACCCCAAAGATGGGAATTGGGACATCTATCAAGGAATCAAAAATGTCCAGCCTTGGTTGTGTCAGAAATATTAAAAAATCAACTAGATAATTACAAAAATGTGAGTCAAGCACTGAAAGGGTTAAATGGATGCAGTGACTTAGCAAAAGAGACCACTTTGACCAGGGACCATGCAAATAAAAGGATTACGAATCAGCTTTTAGTCATCTTTAGATTCGGTTTGGTGATTTGGGTGCTGATTCAGAAAACTGCACTGGATAGACTACATCAGCTCTAGTTTCTGACATATGCCACCCAGTAGTCGCCATCTGCTCAGCCACAGAAAACCATATTTAATAAGCCTCAGCACTATAAGAAGGTTTTGTGAGACCGGTCGCTCTCATTGCCATGATGTAGTAAGGGTGAGGCTGCAGACCATATTTCAGTTCTTGTGGACCACAGGTTGGGAACCACTGGACTAGATGGCCCATATGGTCTCTTCCGACTATTACTCTAGGATTCTCCTTCCCTCCCTGTCACAGCCACACAGTAATGACCAACTGGACTTCTTTCTAAGCTTTTGAGGAGGTTCTGCTACTGTGCACTTTGCAACTGAGAACACTCAGAGAGTTCCCAAATCCAAGAAGGATCTCTCAAACACTTCTCCCCACAGATTCATCTGCCAGACCAACTAATGTAGATATGCTAAACGTGGTGACACCATATGGATGGTGGGGTTATTTTGTTAAGAAGATGGAGTTTCGGGCAATCCGATATAATATTCGTTTAGGAAACCTGGATTTTTTTAAAAAATGGAAATCTATGTGCTAGTCCCAAACCACAGCATATCCACAAAGTCCACGGAACTGCCAAACAACTTTTCCAGTGATTCAATGGGTTTATTCAATTTGGGACTAAGTTTTATGCTTTTGTCAACACACTTTGAATCCCTAGTTAGCAGATAAGGCTAGTGTTTTGGTTGATATATTTGTGAGGCCTGCTTCTACACTGACTCTTTTGCAAATATAGACCAAGCTTTCATACAGAAAAAGGAAAGAAGGAAAGAAGGAAAGAAGGAAAGAAGGAAAGAAGGAAGGAAGGAAGGAAGGAAGGAAGGAAGGAAGGAAGGAAGGAAGGAAGGAAGGAAGTGCAGGGCACCCCCTGCGTTGGAAGCCACTGGCTTACCTGTTTACTGACAGTTTTCAGGAAAGAAACTATCCTTGTGGACAGCAAGTTAAACATGAGCCAGGAATGTGATGTGGCAGCAAAAAAAAGCCAATGGGATGTTGGCCTACATCAAGAGGAGCCTAGTCTCTAGATCTAGGGAAGTCCTGCTCCCCATGCTCTATTCCGCTTTGGTTAGACCACTTTACCTGGAATATTGTGTCCAATTCTGGGCACCACAATTCAAGAGAGATATTGACAAGCTGGAATGTGTCCAGAGGAGGGCGACTAAAATGATCAAGGGTCTGGAGAACAAGCCCTATGAGGAGCGGCTTAAGGAGCTGGGCATGTTTAGCCTGAAGAAGAGAAGGCTGAGAGGAGATATGATAGCCATGTATAAATATGTGAGAGGAAGCCACAGGGAGGAGGGGAGCAAGCTTCCTTTCTGCTTCCCTGGAGACTAGGATGCAATGGAACAATGGCTTCAAACTACAAGAGAGGAGATTCCATCTGAACATGAGGAAGAACTTCCTGACTGTGAGAGCCGTTCAGCAGTGGAACTCTCTGCCCCGGAGGGAGTGTGGTGGAGGCTCCTTCTTTGGAAGCTTTGAAACAGAGGCTGGATGGCCATCTGTGGGGGGTGCTTTGAATGCAATATTCCTGCTTCTTGGCAGAATGGGGTTGGACTGGGTGATGGCCCAGGAGGTCTCTTCCAACTCTTCTAGGATTCGAGGATTCTAAGAAGGAAGCAGGTGTAAACAATGGGCATAAATATGGTACCAGTCCCTGGACCACTGGAAAAATAATTTCTACTCCCTCCATAACGAATAAGATGAGAAGTGCTGTTTGTTTACCATATTCAAACTCTGTCAAACCATGCTGCACAGGATAGGCTTGACAAGCCTTCCTTCCTTCCAACTTGCAGTCCGAGAGACCCTCCAACCAGGGGAAACACAAGTGTTTTTCTTGAATTCCCACCCCAGATGACTCCCCACTGGGTGCTGTGTATGTGCATCCCTCCAACACCCCCATCCCAAAAGGAAGAGATACAGCCTGGACACCTACCCAGTTAGATGTGGGGAGGGGGCTCCCCTTTCTGGGAGATTCTACTGGAATCTAGCTGGGGGGGGGGCTCACCCCATAGCTCACAATGGCCTGTAGTTTCTGTATTGATCTCTCTGCCCCAGCCCCCATTCCAGGGGAGGGGGAGGAAGGGGCCTGGGGAGGGGGAGAGAGCTTAAGAAAGCCAGGCTTCCTGCTTGGGGAAGAGCCAGATTGCGACTGCTTTGGGGCCAGCCCCCTCCCCAGGAGGACTGTTAACCCCCTGCGAGCCGACATATGGTGCTTGGAAGAAGCCAAACACCCTCTTTTTCCCCCAAACTTGCCCAACTAACTTTCTTATTACTGGAGCCCAGAGAGAACCAAAACAAGGGTCTTGTTTGAAAGAGAGGGGTCTATTGGAGGGGTGCTGTTTTGCAGCCCCCTCTGTTCCCGTGGCTCTCTGCATCCACGCAGCCTCTGGGCGAGGGGCGGTGGGGCTCCTCCGTGTTGTTTTGCAACCAGAGGCCTTGAGAACACACGTGTACGGAATGCAGGGAGGATGTTGGGGCTGGAACGCTCTCGCCTCAACCTTTGGCCATCCTTGGGCCTTGCGTGAGCCACCCTTTCTCCCTCTGCGCCCTGCTCCATTGAGGCCCCTCACAATGGCCGGCCTGGAGCCAAGTCCCTCACTGGAGGCATCGGCCAGGAGAAGAGGATGGAGGGACCATGGCTTGGACCAGAAAGCCCTGCAAGAGAACTCCCTCAAGATGGCCCAGCTGTATCCTTTCGGCCCTTTCCTTTCGCCCCATTTCTCTTGGGTCCCCAGTGGCCCCCTTTATTGAAGTGGATTCAGATGCAAAGCCAAAGAAAGTGATCCTAATTGATGGGAGAGGAAGGGCTCTTGGAAGGCCTATGTGGTTGTCTCATTTGAGGATGGGGGTGAGAAGAAGAAAGAGGAGAATGGAGGGGCAAAAGAAGCCACAAGGCAAGCCGGAAGTCCCCCCTCCCCCAGCACAAACAAAAGCAATTAATGCTGCTTCTTCTTCCTCCTCCTCCTCCTCCTCCAATTCAGGGTCCTTAACCAAGGAGAGAAAACTATGGGGAGAGGGCAATTGGGGAGGGGTCTTGTTGTTCCTCCAAGGGACTCTCTCGCCCATAAACTTTAAAATCCAACAATGATCAAGAACAGCAAACAAAGCTTTTTTCCCTCTCCAAAACCCCCTTGTCAAATGTAGGAGAGGAATTTGTGACGGCACACAAATGCACCGCCTCACACCACTAAGAACAACAACAACAGCAACAACAGCAACAGCAGCAGCAACAACAACAACAACAACCAGGAATTCAAATAGTTTTCAAATGACCAGGAGAGTGTTTGCAAAAACCACTAACAACAACAATAACCAAAATATTCAAATAGTTTTCAAATGACCAGGAGAGTGTTTGCAGAAACCACTAACAACAACAACAACAACAACAACCAGGAATTCAAATAGTTTTCAAATAACCAGGGAAGTGTTTGCAGAAACCACTAACAACAACAGCAACAACAATAACCAAAATATTCAAATAGTTTTCAAATGACCGGGAGAGTGTTTGCAGAAACCACTAACAACAACAACAACAACAACAAGGAATTCAAATAGTTTTCAAATAACCAGGGAAGTGTTTGCAGAAACCACTAACAACAACAGCAACAATAACAATAACCAGAATATTCAAACAGTTTTCAAATATCCAGAAGAATGTTTGCAGAAACCACTAACAACAACAGCAACAACAATAACCAAAATATTCAAATAGTTTTCAAATGACCGGGAGAGTATTTGCAGAAACCACTAACAACAACAACAACAACAACAACAAGGAATTCAAATAGTTTTCAAATAACCAGGAGAATGTTTGTAGAAACCACTAACAACAGCAACCACCACCACCACCACCACCAGAATAATCAAATAGTTTTCAAATAACCAGAAGAGCATTTGCAGAAGCAACTAGCTGGGCCCTTTCAACCAGTTAGAAGCCAAAGGAGCCCCCCACCCTACCCTACCCTACCCTACCCTAGCCCACCCTATGCTGACGCAAACCATTTGCTCCCCGATTCCCAGCCAAGCCTTTACCTTCCCATGCCTCCATTTCATGTTCAGCAGCCTCTGCAAGGGATGGGGGGCTCGAGGGCACCCATGAAGAGAGGAGGGGTTCAGCAAAGGCAAAGTGCAGCTTTCTGCCCCACGGAGGGTCAGTTTGGGGGTCCCGTTTGCTGCACCGGGCCCAGAACACAACAGCCGCTCTCCCTTGCAGGTCAGTTTACAGGCTGGTCATGTGATGCAAAAGTTCAAGCCTTAAGGTCACAACTTGGAGGAGGAATTGCCAAAGGGAAAAGGGGGGGGGGCAGTGTGGACAGCAACAACAGGGAATGGCTGCACTGACCACGCACCCACTGCATTTTGAGCATCTGTGGGGCTGAGCCTGCCTTTGGGATTCCTCCCAGAATCCATTTGTTTACCAAAGAGTGCATCCCACTGGTTGCTAGACTACAATTCCCAGCATACCTAGTTGGGGGCTTCTGGGAGATGTAGTTCAGCATGCCTGAAGCCTGGAACAGTGCATGTGCAGGCACATCTCCCTCCCAAGGCCCCAATCCCCCTCCCTTCAAGGCATCTTTTGGGGATAGAGGAACCCCTCCCTTGCAAGTCCCAACCGAGCATCATCACTCTGCCCTCCAACTTCCCCGAAGGGCAGCGCACATGCAGGTTGCCACCCTGCCCTGAACCCGCTTTTCCAAGCCAACGGCTTCTGAGACAGAGGAAGTCCAGTCGCCACAAGGCCCAAGGTGCAGAGGCAACAGGGACTCCCCTCCCACTGGTCCAGTTACCTTCCATAAAGGTGGCCTCTGGCTTTGTCCGGATGGCTGGCTTCAAGAGAGCAGCCCAGGGCTGGGCCAGCCCAGCTGGTCAGGCATGGCCACAAAGCGGACAGCTCTCTCTCTCTCTCTCTCTCTCTCTATCCCCTGACCTCTGTGCTGGGGAGGAGCCAAGGAGAGGGAGGTCCGGACACCCAAGCCTCCTGGCCAGTGAGGAGGGGCCAATGGCACTGCAGGCCAGGAAAAGGGGGTGGGCTGGGGGCTCCCTCCCTTCCTCCCTCCCCGCCCCTTGTTGTGCTACACCAAAACAGGTCACATCCCCAAACACGCCAGGTTTGTGAAAGCAAGGAGAGGGAAGAGCCTGCCTAGGAAGTGATCTGGAAAGGGCTGTTCTTTTGCCATTGGGAGGCAAATGTTTGCTGAAGCAACCAATGAGGTCTGGTGGGTCTGGTGCACTGGCCTGGCCTCAAATAAGCGGCCTAAGAAGAGGAAGGAGGGCTGAAGAGATGGATCAGGGGCTGAAGGCTTCCTGGATGAAGGGGCTTCTAAGGAAGGTCAACATGTCAGAGGAAAGATCTGGGAAAACCACGCAGTCCGAGAAAACCCTATGAAATCCACACCAAAACTTGACAGGTGATTTCACGTCATATGCACACAAGCAAGCACTCTCTCTGCCCCAAGGAAGCTTTGGTTAGATCTCTTCACCTGGAATCACACTGTGCCTAATTCGAGGCACCACTGGACACTTCAGTCCATCAAGGGGTCATCTGCATACCCAAGTTGTGGGAGCTGAAGTCCAAAACACCTGGAGGGAGGGCCCAAGTTGGCCCATGCCTTTGTCCTCTTGGAACTGGACACTTCAGTCCATCAAGAGATCATCTGCATACCCACATTGAGGGAGTTGGAGTCCAAAACTTGGGAGGAGGGCCTAAGTTGGCCCATACCTGACGTGACATCATCTAGGACACTGGAACATTTTCTGATGTCCCTTTTCTGGAAGACCCATGCCACTGTTTTCCAACAGTCTTTTTCTCTATCCAAGGGGAAGACCTTGGATATTGACTCTAGGCTGGAAGGTGTCCAGAGGAGGGCAACTAAAATGATCAAAGGTCTGGAGACCACCAATAATCCCTCTGAGGAGCGTCTTAAAGAGCTGGGTATGTTCAGCCTGAAGAAGAGAAGCTTTGAGAGGAGACATGAGAGCCATGTGTAAATATGTGAAAGGATGCCATAAGGAAGAGGGAGCAGGCTTGTTTTCTGCTGCTCTGGAAACCTGGACTTGGAGGAATTGTTTCAAATGATAGGGAAGGAGATTCCACCTGAACATTAGGAGGAACCAGGAGAACTGTTCAGCAGTGGAACTCTCTGCCTTGGAGTGTGGTGGAAGCTCCTTCCTTAGAAGCTTTTCAGCAGAGGCTGGATGGCCATCTGTCAGGGGTGCTTTGATTGTGTTTTTCCTGCCTGGCAGGAGGTTGGACTAGATGGCCCATGGGTTCTCTTCCAATGCTATGATTCTAAGGTAGAGACACTGGATTTGGCAGCACCGCAATGCTGATACGGAAAACAACTCCATCTGCCAAATTGCTCCCAAAGGCGAGCCAGAGCTTGCAGGTAACTAATTGCAAGATAATGAGCGCCTGCTATATAATTCCTTCTACATAATTGTTTAGTGTTGGAGGAGGACTGTCCCGTGGTTCACATTCATCTGGATTGCTGTGGGTTTTCCGGGCTGTATAGCCACGTTCCAGAAGCATTCTAGCCTGACGTTTCACACACATCTATAGCAGGAATCCTCAGAGGTTGAGCGGTCTGTTGGCAACTATGCAATTGGGGTTTATATGTATCCCCGTGGAATGATGTCCAGGATGGGAGAAAGGACGCTTGTCTGTTGGAGGCATGTGTTAATATTGCTATTGGCCACCTTGATTAGCATTGCCTGGCTGCTTTGATTCATCTCTTTGTGTCACAGACGGAACATTGAGATTTTGCAAAAGCCACATTTGGAGGACCTAGAACAGTAGACAGTTGAAACCCTAACTGAACGCTGGGAACTAACTTCCAAAACTCTCTGGACAGGCCTGAGTGGCTCTCCCTCATTCTCAGAGTGTGACTGCAAGAGGAAAAATATTTATTTCCCTTTCTTTTCACAATTCGCACTTTAAAGAAAGAAAGAATGTAAGAAATGCATTACAAGCAGAGGGGGCTGGGTATGCGCGGCATGTGCCAGCGGTGGGAGCTTCCCTTCTACTGAGGAGACAAAGCGCACACTCTGCCGCAGGGAGGGCGGCCCAGAAACAGCAGCGGCCAAGAAGCAATCCGGTTTTACAGCCAGCCAGCCAGCCAGCGCTCTTCAGGGGCAATCCTGCCTGAAGACCTAATCCAAGCTCATTATGAGGGGCTTCCAGGAAGGGGGCTTGGAAGGGGTGGGGGGGGGACCAGGGAAGCGGGGGATTTCGTCAGAGAAAACATGCACTACTACCAAGTCTCGCAGGGAAATCCAGAAAGGATTGGATGCAATTATTTGTTCTGTTTTTGCTTCTTTCCTCCAAAACTACAGACACCTCTCCTTGCACCATGCATCACGGCATGCTGTTAAGTTGAGATACATACTAAGGCAGAGGCAGGAATTGTTTATGTTCCATTTTCCAACTCAGAGATTAGAGCACTGGATGTTTCCTTCAGGCTCCCCTCTGGGTCCAAGTGCCAGGGAAGTGGGTCAGGGCTGCAGAGGAGATGCACCGTCCACCCACGGCCCTGGGCAGGTCTTCCCCTTGGAGAGGGCAAAAGACTGTGGCATGGGTCTTCCAGAAAAAGGACATCGGAAAATGTTCCAGTCTCCTAGATGACGTCACGTCAGGCCTGGGCCAACTTGGGCCCTCTCTCCAGGCATTTTGGACTCCAACTCCCACAATGTGAGGATTCAGATGACCCCTTGATTGACCAAAGTGTCCAGAGAAGCCATTGAAATCCACAAGAAGCATGTGGACAATTTCAACAGAAAGGAAGAAACCATGAAAATGAACAAAATCTGGCTACCAGTATTTTAAAAAAGACCTCTGAAATTATAACAGTAAATAAAAAACAAAACTCAAACACAGGGGAACTCCAGACAAGAAAAAAAATCAGGAACACCTAATGACCTCTCAGCAAAGGAATTTCCCAGGCAGTAACAAGCCACACCTAAAAACTGCCAGGCCATCAAGGTGGCCAATTGAAACATTCGCACCCAACTCCAACAGACAAGAATTCTTTCTCCCACCCTGGACCTTCCACAGATATATAAACCCAATTTTCATAGTTTCCAACAGACCCCACAACCTCTGAGGATGCTTGCCATAGATGCAGGCCAAACGTCAGGAGAGAATGCTTCTAGAACATGGCCATACAGCCCGAAGAACCTACAACAACCCAATAATGTTTGAAATGGTTTTAACTTGATGTTTATGTAATGTTATATGTAATTGTGTTTGTATGTTGTTGCCATTGAATTGCTGCCATTGTAAGCTGCCCCGAGTCCCCCCTCAGGGGTTGAGAAGGACGGGGTACAAATGTTGGAAATAATAATAATTATCTATATAAATAAAAATGTAATGTTCGTTTGTGGGACTGACATAAGTCAAAAACCACTGGACGAATTGCCGCTGAATTTGGCCACAAGACACCTACTAACCCAAGGAGTGACCATCACTCAAAAAAATTGAGTTTGTCATTTGGGAGTTGTAGTTGCTGGGATTTATAGTTCACCTACAATCAAAGAACATTCTGAACTCCACCAATGATGGAATTGAACCAAACTTCACACAGGACTCCCATGACCAACAGAAAATACTAGAAGGGTTTGGTGGGCATTGACGTTGAGTTTGGGAGTTGTAGTACACCTACACCCAGAGAGCACTGTGGACTCAAACAATGATGGATCTGGACCAAACTAGGCACGGATACTCCATATGCCCAACTAGGAACACAGATGGAACTTGGGGGAAATAGACCTTGACATTTGGGAGTTGTAGTTACTGGGATTCACAGTTCACCTACAATCAAAGATTATTCTAAACCCCACAAACAACAGAATTGAAGCAAACTTCCCACACAGAACCCTGACCAACAGAAAATACTTAAAGACATCCAGTCCAACTCCCTTCACCAGAGCAAGAAAATGTAATCAAATACAGTTTACCCACAAGCACAAAGAAATTACACATATTAGAAACCAACACTTTCTCATTACTTTATTTTCCAAATCACCAGACTGGGCCACAGCAATGTCTAGGCAGGGGACGGCTAGTAGTAGTAGTAGTAGTAGTAATAATAATAATAATAATACTGGAATTTCTCAAAGCCTTATGAGAGTTACTAAAACTTCAAATCCTGTCTGACGTTCAGACAATTTACCTGTCCGAACGTATCCTCCCCTATGAGCCATCAAGATTACTAAGATCGTCTGGAGGGGCCCTGCTCTTGATCCCACCGGCCTCACGGCTGGTGGGGACGAGAGACAGGGCCTTCTCGGTGGTGGCCCCTCGACTCTGGAACTCCCTTCCACTGGAGATCAGAACTGCCCCTTCTATCTTAACGTTCAGGAAACAGGTGAAAACTTGGCTTTGGGGATTGGCATTCGACGAATGAGCCATGATCCTGTGATATGGATGGATGACGACGAATAATGACTTTTGATGACGACTGACCACTGTAATTATATGATTGTATTTTGTTCATTCGTTCAATCGTCTCCGACTCTTCGTGACCTCATGGACCAGCCCACGCCAGAGCTCCCTGTCGGCCGTTACCACCCCCAGCTCCTCAAGGTCAGTCTAGTCACTTCAAGGATGCCATCCATCCATCTTGCCCTTGGTCGGCCCCTCTTCCTTTTGCCTTCCACTTTCCCCAGCATAATTGTCTTCTCTAGGCTTTCCTGTCTCCTCATGATGTGGCCAAAGTACTTCAACTTTGTCTAGTATCTTTCCCTCCAGTGAGCAGTCGGGCTTTATTTCCTGGAGGATGGACTGGTTGGATCTTCTCGCAGTCCAAGGCACTCTCAGCACTTTCCTCCAACACCACAGCTCAAAAGCATCGATCTTCCTTCGCTCAGCCTTCCCGAAGGTCCAGCTCTCACATCCGTAGGTGACTACAGGGAAGACCAT